AGACACCCAGTACAATTATGTGCTTGTTATCCTTACCAAGTTTATAAATCTTTAGAACTTTCTGGACTATTCATAATTAGAAAGAAATAAAAACAGAGTAGTTTGAACAGTTATAGTTTACTATGTAAAAGTGTGTTTGTGGTCTATTATCAAAGGAGGAAAAGAATACAAGTGACTGCTACTTTCATGAAATACAGTAGAATTTTTAACAACAGGGCAATTGACATTTTCACAGAGAAGCAATCCATATATACTGCGCTTTGACTGCACATAGTTATTTCAGAGCACATAATTCAATGGGGGACACAGTCAAATCTATGTAATAAGAAGATGTACTGTAAATAGTGTTCTTTCTTGTGAAATTGTTTTAAAAATTAATCAATCATTTTCAACTGATTGATTAAAACAAAGCCTTAACAAAGGATTTGTATGTCAGAGGCCATCCCTGGGGAACATCACATATTTCACAGACTTCACACAGACACATAAATAATCCAATCTGTGTTCAGACTGACCTTTTACATTTTTATGAATTTTTAAAGAATACTTTAAAAACCAACATTTTAAAAAAGATTCTTTGATGAATTGTCAGCCTCCAGCCTCAGATATACTGTTGAAGATATTTTAACTAGACATACCTGCCCGTGTTTTGGTGCTATGTCAAATATTCTTTTCTAAGAACTTTTTAAATGAACATTATACATTTATGTGCTATTTTTTGGATTTATATTTAGTGGCACTTATAGATCGTCATTGGTTACCTCACAAAATTAGTCCTACATTTTCATAACATTATGGATCAATAGCTATCTTAGGAATGCTAACTACTTTCGAGTGATAATTTTAAGGTAACTTTTAAATTTTGAGCTAATCTGAAACTTACAGAGAAATTGTTTAAGTATGGTACAAAGGATGTTTTTACACTCTGACCCATTTGAGAGTAAGTTGCTGGCCTGGGGCTTGTTCACCCCTAAATACTCTGTGTATATTTCCTATAAACAAGAACATTTTCCTACACAACCATTAAAATTAGAAAATTATTAAAATTAGAAAATGTAATTAATTATTTACATTTAAACCTCAGAACCCATTCAAGCTGAATGGGTTGTCCCTGAAATGTCCATTCTAGTCACAGGGTCATGTCTGGAATCACTCTTTGCATCTCATTGTTGCATTTCTTCACTTTCCTTCCATCTGGGATTGTTTTTTCAGTCTTGTCTTTCATGACCTTGACACTTAG